CCTATTGCCATAGATAACAATATCATCTAATTATACTAGGCATTTGATTCCTTGCAGTCCAGCTAATACAGAATTCATTAGTCTTTGAAATGTCGCTGGTGCGTTCTTTAATCCAAAAGGCATTCGATTGAATTCGTAATGTCCCGTTGGTGTTGAGAAAGCAGTTTTATTTTTGTCTTGCTCCGTCATTGATATTTGATGATATCCTGAAGCTAAATCTAAAGTGGAAAAATACTTAGCATTTCCTAATTGATCTAAAATATCATTAATATTTGGTAATGGGAAAGAATCTCCTATCGTTAAATCATTTAGTTTTCTGAAATCGACTACTATTCGTAGTTTTGTTTTTCCCGATGCATCAGTTTTCTTTGGTACGACTAGTAAAGGTGCATTCCATTGGCTAGCACTATGTCGTATTACTTTATTGTCTAACATTTCTTTTATTTGTTTATTGACTTCTTGTTTATGTTTTTCGGGTAACCGGTACGGTCGTATGTTTACTGGAGCTGCGTCAGCTCGTGTGGTAACTTGATGTTCCACTATTGTTGTATGTGTGAGGCTATCTTCTTCTATAAAAAATATGTCATTGAAATCTTCACATATTTCATGTATTATTTTTCTTTCCTCATTATTTAAATGTTCTAAACGTAATTGTTTCTTTAGTTTTTCCGTTCGTGCCGATTGCTTGCTGTTCTTTTGTTCAGTAAGCAAATTTATTTTTGTTATATCCTCATCCGTAATTTCTTCTATAGTGATATACGGTGTGGCTATTTTCACACTGTTTTCAGTGGTATTTATTATTGTGATAGGGCACGTGTGATTGCTTGCTTTTATCAAGCAATTTCCTATAAAAATTCCTGGCAAAATCTCCTCTGCCGGAATAATTCCTTCTTGATCAGAGCTTACTGTAGCCTGTATTATATTTTCGCTACGCGCGGGAAGGCTATATGTTTGAAATGGTATTAATGGCAAGTTTTGTCCGGAAACTCTCAATGTTCTTTCCTTATAGTCAAACTTGGCATGATATGTTTGTAGAAAATCGATCCCTAGTATTCCTTCATATTCTATGGGGAAATCATCCCTTACTACGTAAAGTTCCATTTGTCTTAATTGCTTTCCTACGTCTATCGTAGCTTTTATTTTTCCCAATGTATGGGCTTGATGTCCCGTGATTCCTGTTAGAGTGAGTTTTTCTCCAATCATCGGTGTTTCATTTTTTAATGTCTTTATTTTTACTAGACTAACGGCTGATCCTGAATCTACCAAAAACGGAATTTTTCCTTGTTTTGCTTCTTTTATTGGCAATATTACTAAATCGAGTAGTCTATTATTCAGCGTATGTTTTCTTACTTGGTTGACCTGGTAGTCTTGTACTCTAGTTAGTTTTTTGTTTTTATTATCTTGTTCATTTCTATTCCCTATTCTGGGAGTCGAAAATCTTTCCGTATTAGACGGAATGACTGTCACTGTCCGTGATAGTCTTTGCTGATTACTCACGGGTTCAGGTTTCCCGTTTTGCTTACCGTGCAGATTCCAGCATTCGTCACGGTTATGACCGTTCTTTTTACAGTAAACGCAATGTTTCTGTACGGCATTTATGCGTGTACTTTCGATTGGTTTCGGTAACACATATCGATTTGCATAACGACTTGTTCTACATTCCTGTCCTTTATGATCTAATTTACCACATTTGTAGCATTGCAAAGTTTTTTCATTGCGGGTATATGTAGGAGGTTTAATTTTTACCAAAATATACAATTTTTATCTCTTCATATTTTCCGCTAAAGTTGACCGAATTCAAGTAAAAAATTATTGAATCCAATAATCTTGTAGATATTTACGTAAATATCTTAGAAAATAGAGGTCGTATAAAAAATTTTTTCAAGCAAAAGTTATTTGCGTTTTTACGTTGAATAAAATGCCGTAATAAAAAATATGTATTTCTATTTAAAAAAGCAAAGTTGACCTTGTTCTGACCTTGGCGACGCCATCCCATGTCAAGTAACTACTATTGTTGAATGCGTTTTTTTAAGCCTTACAACTTTTGTCTGAAACATTTTTCTTTCCCGTGCTTAGTTTTCGACATATTCGACTGGATGGATTAAAATGGTCCACCCTGTATTCATACAGGGTGTCCCGAAGTCCCATGATAACCTTTGGTGAGAACGTAAAACGGATTGAAGTGAGCAAGAAAGTCCTGTGCCATTTTGCGATATTCGCAATAGTTTTTGAGAAATCAATTATTTTGTCTCAACAAATCAGCGTACAGAAAGCGGCAGCGGAAAGAAAGATGCCTTCGGCCGACGTGCGACCGTGACACTCGCGAATCGTATCTCGCCGCATCCCTCCGCCCATAGCTACGAGACATAGACTCGTTATCACTCTTACATTTTTTTTAAATTATGAACTTAAATATCGTCATATTGGATAAGAAGAAATAACATAGAAATAAATGTTTCTAACAAGTATAAAAAAATTAGGGAAAAAAGCAATTGTAAAAATAAAAATTATTTGCCTTGTCCGCACAAATAAATATTTCTTTTTTCTTCTACTGTAACGAGCCGAACGTATCCAAAACACTTCGTATATTTTGTATTTCATGTAATGTACGTTTGTGAACTCTCAGAAGTTCTCGTTGTATGTTTAGTTCTTCTTTTTTCAGGTTTAATTTTTCTTCTTGGATTCTGATCATTTTCTCAGTCATTG